GCTTTTAAACATGTGTGCACGGACATATAAGCTAACATAGAGGGGCTATTAGAGGCATAACAAAAAAAACCTCAAAATGCCTATTAAGGGCCAGTTCACACTATAGAAATGCAGTCCAAGTGCGTTCTGGATGCTTTTCTGCATGTGCGGTTTTGATGGTGTTCTGGTACTTTTTTGATGCGTTTTTGACGTGTTCCAGTTTGTTTTTGATGCATTCCAGTTCATTTTTTCCCCTCTCTTTTTCTTCAATATAAATAGGGACATGTGTGTTCCAGTGTAGTTTTGATGCGTTTTGGTGTTACTGGTGCCTTTTTTATGCATTTTACCGCATTTCAGTATAGCTCTGTGCAAAAAAAAATGCAGCATGTTCTACTTTTTTCTGCACCCAGAATGCACTAGAACTGCAATCACTGATGTGAACTATGACACTGATAACTATATAACCTACTATCTGTGTGTTTTGGATGCAGAAAAAAAGCAACTGAAGTGCATGAAGTACATGGCGTGTATAGCAAAAGTCCAAAATATTGTTTTTTTTCTCCTCAAAATTGTCAGCCTTTTTTTTTTATAGCGCAAAAAATAAAAACCCGCACAGGCGATCAAATACCACCAAAAGAAAGCTCAATTTGTGGGGAAAAAAAGGATGTAAATTTCATTTATGTACCATATTGCATGACCGCGCAATTGTCCGTTAAACTAGCGCAGCGCTGTATAGCAGAAAAATGGCGTAAATTGCAGTATCTATACCATAGTTTGTAGACGCTATAACTTCCACACAAAGCAATCAATATACACTTATTGGGATTTTTTTTTTACCAAAAACATGGAGCAGAATACATTTTGGCCTAAATTTATAACCAACTTTCAGTTTACTATATATTTTTTTATAGATGAAAGTAAAAAATATTGTTTTTCTTCAAAATATCAGGAAAAATTTGCTTGCATCGAATCCGAATTTTAGCAAACTTCGGGTGCACGAATCAAATTTTTTCCCGATCAGCCGGCAAAAGTGTCACTGCAGAGAGCTCCGCTATTTCTGACAGTTCTGACAGTTCATTTACAGCGGTTGAAACATTGTATCTATTTGTTTCCATTTAGGATACAGATGTTTTTATTCGGAAATAAATAGATACAATGTTTCAACCGCTGTAAATGTGAAGGAACTGTCAGAGAACTGTCAGAAATAGCGGAGCTCTCTGCAGATACACTTTTTGCTGTACTGGAATTCTTCTTCTTTTCATTCTTCTTCTTCTTTTCATTCTTCTTTTCATTCTTCTTTTCATTCTTCTTCTTCTTCTTTTCATTCTTCTTCTTCTTCTTTTCATTCTTCTTTTCATTCTTCTTCTTCTTCTTTTCATTCTTCTTCTTCTCTTCTTTTCATTCTTCTTTTCATTCTTCTTCTTCTTCTTTTCATTCTTCTTCTTTTCATTCTTCTTTTCATTCTTCTTCTTCTTCTTTTCATTCTTCTTCTTTTCATTCTTCTTTTCATTCTTCTTTTAATTCTTCTTCTTCTTTTCATTCTTCTTTTCATTCTTCTCATTCTTCTTTTCATTCTTCTTCTTCTTCTTTTCATTCTTCTTCTTCTTTTCATTCTTCTCATTCTTCTTTTCATTCTTCTTCTTTTCATTCTTCTTCTTCTTTTCATTCTTCTTTTCATTCTTCTTCTTCTTCTTTTCATTCTTCTTCTCATTCTTCTTCTTCTTTTCATTATTCTTCTTCTTCTTTTCATTCTTCTTTTCATTCTTCTTCTTTTTCATTCTTCTTCTTCTTCTTTTCATTCTTCTTCTTCTTCTTTTTCATTCTTCTTCTTCTTCTTTTCATTCTTCTTTTCATTCTTCTTCTTCTTTTCATTCTTCTTTTCATTCTTCTTCTTTTCATTCTTCTTCTTCTTCTTTTCATTCTTCTTTTCATTCTTCTTCTTCTTCTTTTCATTCTTCTTCTTCTTCTTTTCATTCTTCTTTTCATTCTTCTTCTTTTCATTCTTCTTCTCTTCTTCTTTTCATTCTTCTTCTTCTTCTTTTCATTCTTCTTTTCATTCTTCTCCTTCTTCTTTTCATTCTTCTTTTCATTCTTCTCATTCTTCTTTTCATTCTTCTTTTCATTCTTCTTTTCATTCTTCTTCTCATTCTTCTTCTCATTCTTCTTCTCATTCTTCTTTTCATTCTTCTTTTCATTCTTCTTTTCATTTTTCTTTTCATTCTTCTTTTCATTTTTCTTTTCATTTTTCTTCTCATTCTTCTTTTCATTCTTCTTCTTCTTCTTTTCATTCTTCTTCTTCTTCTTTTCATTCTTCTTCTTCTTTTCATTCTTCTTTTCATTCTTCTTTTCATTCTTCTTCTTCTTCTTTTCATTCTTCTTCTTCTTTTCATTCTTCTTCTTCTTCTTCTTTTCATTCTTCTTTTCATTCTTCTTCTTCTTCTTTTCATTCTTCTTCTTCTTTTCATTCTTCTTTTCATTCTTCTTTTCATTCTTCTTCTTCTTCTTTTCATTCTTCTTTTCATTCTTTTTCTTTTCATTCTTCTTTTCATTCTTCTTCTTCTTCTTCTTCTTCTTCTTCTTTTCATTCTTCTTCTTCTTCTTCTTTTCATTCTTCTTCTCTCCTTCTTTTCATTCTTCTTCTCCTTCTTTTCATTCTTCTTCTCCTTCTTTTCATTCTTCTTTTCATTCTTTTTTTCATTCTTCTTCTTCTTCTTTTCATTCTTCTTCTTCTTCTCATTCTTCTTTTCATTCTCTTTTCATTCTTCTTCTCATTCTTCTTCTTCTTCTTCTTTTCATTCTTCTTCTTCTTCTTCTTTTCATTCTTCTTCTCATTCTTCTTCTTCTTTTCATTCTTCTTCTTCTTCTTTTCATTCTTCTTTTCATTCTTCTTCTTTTCATTATTCTTCTTCTTCTTTTCATTCTTCTTTTCATTCTTCTTCTTTTCATTATTCTTCTTCTTCTTTTCATTCTTCTTTTCATTCTTCTTCTTCTTCTTTTCATTCTTCTTCTTCTTCTTTTCATTCTTCTTTTCATTCTTCTTCTTTTCATTCTTCTTCTTCTTCTTTTCATTCTTTTCATTCTTCTTCTTTTCATTCTTCTTCTTCTTCTTTTCATTCTTCTTTTCATTCTTCTTCTTCTTCTTTTCATTCTTCTTCTCCTTTTCATTCTTCTTCTCCTTCTTTTCATTCTTCTTTTCATTCTTCTTCTTCTTCTTCTTTTCATTCTTCTTTTCATTCTTCTTCTTCTTCTTTTCATTCTTCTTCTTCTTCTCATTCTTCTTTTCATTCTTCTTTTCATTCTTCTTCTCATTCTTCTTCTTCTTCTTTTCATTCTTCTTCTTCTTCTTTTCATTCTTCTTCTCATTCTTCTTCTTTTTTTCATTCTTCTTCTTCTTCTTTTCATTCTTCTTTTCATTCTTCTTCTTCTTCTTTTCATTATTCTTCTTCTTCTTTTCATTCTTCTTTTCATTCTTCTTCTTCGTCGTGCCCCGTGACTGCCCAAATGAGTGAAGTGTGCGGTGATTCTAAGATCGACGGCACTCATCTGCATGTCATACTGACTGACAGTATTATTTCTCTTCTCCAGCAGACTCCAAGGGCATTTAAATTAAAGGTACAGTGTTCTGCACTAATATAAAGGCTCTCTGAAGCCTAGAAACCCTTTTAATAAGTTAAATTCGCGGCGAATAAATTCGCATCGCATCGAATTTCTCTCCGCAAATTCGGCGAATAGCCGAATTGAATTTTTGAATAATTCGCTCATCTCTAGAAATGACACATGCTTTTTCATCAAACAGTAATAGACCCACTTTGACCAGCAGATAGAAATTTGCCAGTAGTTCCTTGTTCTTGCAAATGCAAAATTGTCCTGGCACTGACTAAATTCTTTTCATTTTTTAGGAAGAATTAAAAGACCCCAAATGATACTGTAGTGTAAAAGTGGCCATCAGTAGGACCTTGCCACCTGTCTGCAGCAATTTTACTGTGGAAGAGTGGCATAGGCAGCCCAGGAAACATAACTGTACGTTGCTGCCTTCTTCTGGGTTTTTGGGTATGTGCACCCCCTGCCAACTTGTGCCGTGATTGGACACAGCACGAGTTAATCAACAGGCTTCAGCCAATTACTTAGGCTGAAACCTGGTGATTTGCTACAGCCAATCACAGAACAGAGTCCTGTGTGTTTACAGCACAGAAAAATCTGTCTGCTTCTTGCAGGGAGAGAAAAACAGTCAAATCATATTACATTTGTTAACCACTTCCTGTCCGGACACTTTTACCCCCTTCCTGTCCAGGGCAATTTTCAGCTTTCAGCGTTATCACACTTTGAATGACAATTGCGCGGTCATGCAATACTGTACCCATATGAATTTTTTACCATTTTTTTGAGACAGATAAAGCTTCATTTTGGTGGTATTTATTCACTGCTGGGATTTTAATTTTTTTTACTATGTAAATGAAAAAGTCCAAAAATTTTGAAAAAAAGTGTTTTTTTAAATAAAATTTTGCAAATAAATAATATTTCATCATAAATCTTGGCCAAAATTTATTCTGTTATTTTTTTAGTAAAAAAAAAAAAAAATCCAAATTAGTTTATAACCAAAAATTATAATTTTTAAACATTTTTTTTTCCATTTGTCTTTTATTTTTTTTATATTATTATTTTTTTTTTTTTTTTTACATACTGTCACCCTAGCAGTACAGTGTCACCATGGTGACACTGTACTACTTGTGGGGAGTGATGAAGATTTTTTTTTTTTTTTTTTTTACACTGATTGCTTTTACACCCATATAGGATGTAAAAGCAATCATTTCTCTTTCTCTCTGTCTGCATTCTTGCAGTCATTGAGAAGTACTGAGTGAGCTGTGATTGGTCACAGCTTGTCAGATGGTACAAGGATGTTGTGAATAGCCTTGTACCATTGTGATCATTCACAGATTTCACACGTAGTAAGCAATGACATCACAAGTGACATCTTGCTTACTACTTTACATGTGATCACTGATTCGCCAATCAGTGATCACATGATCGGGACCTCGTACAGAGGTCCCGTCCGACGATCGGTGTTTCACTGTGTCCGGAAGACACAGCGGGCACCGGATCGCGGTGGTGCGCGCTCCCAGGGAGCGCGCACAGCTAGAAAAGGCGGGTGCCGTTTATGAACGGCAACCCACCCCTGGACTGCCACCGCCCTGCTGTTTATAAACAGCAGGCGGACGGCAAGAGGTTAAGCACACAGTTAACCCCTCGCTTGCCCCTTGATTTTAAACCCATCCCACCCAGTGCATTAATAGTTTACAGTAATATATCTGATCATTATATTAGTGTCACCAGCAACACCAGTCTCAGTCAGTTAGTGTACCTCAAAGCAAGTGTCTGTTATCACCAGATTGCTCACCACACTATCACAGTCCCACTATTAGTCGTTGATCATCGCTATTACCAGTATAGTGTCTATAGCTGTGTACATACCAATATATACTGTATATACCATCATTTATGGATGCTATAACTTTCACACAAACCAATTAACATACACTTAGTTTTTTTTTTTTTAACCAAACACGTGCAGCAGAATGCTATTTGGCCTAAATGAATGAAAACATTACATTTTTGATTTATTGTTGGATATGTTTTATAAAAGAAAGTAGAAAATAGTGTTTTTTTTTTATTTTTAATGTATATAATTAAAAAAAACAGTTGTGATCAAATACCATCAAAATCAAATCATTTGCGTGAAAAAAAATGATATAAATTTCATTTGGATACAGTGTTTCATGACCGAGCAATTGCCAGTTAAAGTAGTACAGTGCTGAGTAGCAAAAAATGGTCTTGTCGTGATAGGTGTAAAACTATCTGGAGATCAACTAGTTAATAAGGGAGAATGGGCTGAAATTTACTAGAAGGTATAGAAGACAGGTGTTTTCTGTACATGAATTAAGAGACTGCAGAAAACACAGCAGTAAAAAGCTAGCCAACAGAAGAATAATTTTAAATAGCTATAGACAAAGATTACAGGCTGGCGCTTTTTGGCAAGAATTAAACTACTGCAGAGGATACAGCAATGAAAAGTTGGCCATATGCAGAATGGTTTTAATCAGGGATAATAGGCCTAACTGGTGTATTTTATCTATGGGGATTTTGAGTGGTATAATGTGAGTTGGTTTAGGTGCACACTATTCTTGCACTTTTTTTTTTTTCTTTGAAGTCATGCAGTAGTGTGCTGCAAACTAAAGGCAGCTATAAGAACAGATGGTAAGTGACACGAATGCTCTGCTTTATAGCAACCCTAATCTAGAAAAAGGCAATATCAATATAAAATAAAAATGAAAACCCAGAAAACCCCTGTTTTGTAAAGGAAAGCCTTACAGCAAAAAAAAACCCAAAACAAACAACATTTTTTTTTTATGGTTAGGCCATCAACTTTATGTGAAAGCTGACTTCAGACCAACCACAAAATTCAAATTAAAAGAAAAAAATGTCTCCAATAAATTGAAAAAGAAAACAAAAACAGCAAGAACTAGCAATGCAAACCTTTCCATATGCAGTTTGTTAGCTTTCCCTACAATGGCATCCAATTCACATATATTATGGTTGCTGTCTCCCCCCCCCACGCCCCTTTTATAGTAAGGGTGTTGGTGTAAATAAAAACTCACTTATTGGTGATGCTCATGGAGTGTATTCATTATACCTTACTGGATAAGATGCACTTATTTGATAAAAAAAATGGGAATCATGAAAGGATTATAGACAATTATTGCATGATTAACAACATCCCAAGTGAAGGTTGACCGGCATATACTGTTGACAGATGTATCATTCAACCTACTTAATCGTTTACGTTTTTCTTGTACTTGCAATCTACTCTTTTCTATTTCCTCTCTTTCTTATATTAATATACGTTTCTGTATTGTACTTTTCAAAAGTGCCTTGTTTTTGCTGTAAGTATCACCTGAAACTGTACTGTTGTTTTACAGACTACTTTTGCAAAATAAAACCGTTTGTAAACATAAAAACTCTCTTATTGGACCTGTTAGGCCCCTTTCACAGGGGCCGACTGCTTGTACGTTTTTAATCCATCGACGCATGAAAAACGGAGAGCAATGTATATGCTATTGACCAGCGGATGTGAACAAATGATCATACAGTTATCATCCGTTTGCATCTGTGTTCATTATGGTCCGTTTTTTTAAACATACAAGGGTACATCCAGATCTGCTGAAAACGGAATAGAATGGTTCCATTTTTAGGCAAGCAAATTTTTTGTTTATGCTTTCGTCACCTTTGATTGGTCTCTGCAACAACTAAGTAAAACATATGCAAAAACAGATGTAAACTGATATAAACTTAACTGATATAAACTGATGTAAACTGAACTGAAATAAACAGAAGTGAAAACTTTGAAAAAACGTGACTGATCGGATGATGCCTGTGTGAAAGGGGCCTTAAAGGATAAGTTCACCTTTTGCCCAAAAATAATCTATCTATCCATTCAGTCGTATCCAACCCTTGGCGATTGCATGGACCGTCACTCGTAAGCGACTTTTTCCATGAATTCTCTTACAATTATTTTACAGGGTAGGTTGCCAGGTCTTTCCCCAACCCCTACCATGCAGGAAATCCCACGTGGCCAGGAATGAAACTAGGACAATTTAGACAGGAGCCAATTAACCTACCAGCATGTCTTTGGAGTATGGGAGGAAACCCACGCGAACACAGGGAGAACATGCAGGAGGCACCATGGTTGGGAATTGAACCCATGACCAGGGGTGGACTCACAACTCATGGGGCCCCCGGGCAATAGGGGATCATGGGGCCCCTGTGTCTTTGCCCAAACTCAAAAAAACCTATGAAAAAGGTACCAGGGGCATCTCATGGGGCCCCCAACTGGCCCTCGGGCAGTGCCCAAGTTTCCAAATGGTCAGTCCACCCCTGCCCATGACCTAATTACTGCAAGGCAGATGTGCTAACCACTAAGCCACTGTGCCACCCCCAAAAATAATAAATGCACATTTTTATGCAGCTACAAAAATGTACATTCATTATTTTTGGCTGCAGGAGCCTGTAAAGTATTGCACCCGCAATCAACAGATGGTTGATGCCATGCAGGTCTCCTGCAGACCTGTTAGTATATTTGCTTGCTTGTACGGGATGTACAGTCAAGCAGATATACCGACAGGAAGAATCAGTGAAATACCACGGCACTCCACAGCCTTGTGGTAGTTCATTGAGAACTACAAGATGACAGCCGCTAAAGACTTTCAGGACTTGTAGTTCATTCATTCACAGAACTCTGTGAATGAATGACACAGCCATGTGGGCGAAATGATGGGTGACCATAATTGAGAATACGTAGATTCTTGCTGGCATTATTAAAGTCTGCATGCACACAATGGGGTTGTTTTACTAAAACTGCAGCACTCAGAATCTGGTGCAGCTGTGCATGGTAGCCAATCAGCTTTTAAATTCAGCTTGTTCAATGAAGCTTTTCTATGCAGAGCTGCACAAGATTGGGATCGTCCAGTTTTAGTAAATCGACCTTACTGCTGTGTGACTAGGAGCAGCAGTCAGCGGAGGCAATCAGCTTTGTACTCTGTACAAACCAATGGCTGCCACTGTTCTAATGTAAATGCTTATGTCAATGATTACATCCAACCAGCCTTGAATGCAGTCAGTGTGTGTCCAGAGTCAACATTTCTGTGGAATTTGGCTGCACCCACACTGACCACAGCTAATCCACCAGTTTGTATTGTGGCATTCGCACAGTGTGTTGCTGCATCCATAAGTGATGCTTTGCTACCTGTTAATGCAGCAAACTATCCACAGCCATGCAGCCATGTGAATGGAGCCTAAGCAAGCTGGCCATTGTTCAGCTTGTTCAATTAAGCTTTAGCAATATAGCCTGGAAGATAATTGGTTTCTATGCAGAGCTGTGCCAGATTTTGCACTCTCCAGTTTTAGCAAATCAACACCAATGTATTGCCAAAGCCAACGTGTACCAAAGTCTTGCACTTGATCTCTGCTAAGGTGTAAGACATTGGTTAATGATAGTTTTGACCTAATTAGTAGCCCACAAATTATAAAAGGCTGATTTTCAAGCAGCCCTCTGTCAGTGTGTTGGAGAGTTTAGGGAATGAGAGCCAGTTATTGTAGTGTGCTAGTAGTACTATATGAGTTCTACTGAAGTAGTAAGTTGTGGTTAGGGAGAGTACAGTGTAAGCCCATCTATTTTTTTTTTTTTAAGAGCAGTCATTTTTATTTCTTAAGCAAAAATATAAAATCAAAGGGTTTTAAATATACTTGTAGTATTTTTGGTGGGTGTATTATGGTGTTTTTTTTTTTTTTTAATTCTATTTTTGAGCTTTATATTTTGGGGGGTTTATTTTGTTGGGGTCTTATTATTTTCCATTTCACAGATGGTTATAATTTTTAACAGGGTCAAGCAGAGCAATAGCAGCATGAATCTGTTAGGCTGCAATCACAGCCGAGGGTCAGATTGTTTTTTTTTTTTTTTTGAGTGTTTTGTTAAAGCGTTTGAGCTTCAGGTGTATATGTAGTAGCTTCTAGAGCACATTATCTGTGTGGACATAATTTTAAAAATGCCACTATTGCATGCACCAATGCAATTCTATGGGACTCAAAAAAAAACCCTGCCCAAATCAAGCTACAAAAGTAGTAGGGTTGTGTTTTGGTTTTTTCCGATTCAAGCATTGAAGTGGAGATGAGAACCACCATCATAAAGATGCATTGAGATAGATAGGTAGCATTATCTTTCTCCCTGAGCATTTGAGCTTCAAGCTGCAAACACTCAGGTGTGAATGGGGTCTTCGTATTACCACAATGGCTTCTCTTGCTTTGCAGTGCATCGCAGATCATTTGAGGTGCTCTTTAATTCACCAAAAGTACCACAGTTTATTGTGCAACCAAACACCACTTCCCCTTGCTTAAAGTGACTCAGCCTTTTTGCATTATTATTGTTGTACCTTATGTTCACAGCATTAAGGACTAGTTATATTTTCTTCCTATACCTGACAATAAAAGTAGAGAATAGGCACTGCATCATATCTGGTAGGCCTGTAGGGAGAGGCAAAAGTTACCATGTAGCTATGACAGGGCGTGTAGCCTTTGTGTCTACAGGCCAAAACAGTGGTCTTGGATGTGG